TTGGTTCTTCAGAAGAAGTTATTTGAAGCATTTGACATATTTGTCTGTGTAACCTTGTAATAAGACTGAGGTCATTTTCTCCTCAAACTTTCTAGACAAGACATTTTTGATTCTAGGAAGACCCTTACTTGTACATTCTTAACACGCAACTCTCCTTTCAAAGGTTTGATATTTCCACAATTCATTTAGTGTTTTACCGTCAATAGATTATTTTTAACAGGATACTTAAATATACTTCATGCCATTCAACTAAATTAATAAAACCTTCAAAACAAACCGGATTTGAGAATAAAGGATATTCTAAACATACTGTTATGAAAACCTTGTTATTGTATTGTGTACACCTATATAGAAATCCAGAATATTGTAATTTTAGCAATCCCAAAATCTTTAAACCTCAAATTTACATTTCTATTCGTTTGAGGACAAAAACAAGAGGTCCATTTGGCCTGTATTGCTCATCTACTTCTTTTGTTTTGTGAAACAAGAGAAGAAGATATATTTCCATCAACTTGAGACGGTATATATATATATATATATATATATATATATATATATATATATATAGTCATTTCAGATTTCTTATTGACGGAAAGAATTGAAATAATACTTGGTATGGCCACTGACAATGCTTGGTTAACAATTTTTGTTAATGTCTAAACTAGTTATTTGACAGCTAGGGCAGCTTATAATTTTGAACTTTGAATCAAGTCAAAAATAACAGCACCAGTTCAAGAACATGAGAGCATTATTCAAGTCAACTTTGGTTACTTATGGCATGGTGCAAGTTCAGAAGTTGAAAATTTCAAAGAACAGGTGGCCAATTCTTTCGTTGTAAAAGTTTTCAAAAACAACAAAGGCTTGACCTAATTGCAATTGAAATGGATCAGGAAATGCCAAGAATTCAACTAGAAAAACAACAATTGGACAAGAGAATCATTAATACTAGTATTTACATATTACACCAACGGAAGAAGACAAAATATTTGCCTCATTTCCGTCAGCGACCAAACAAAGCCACCCACCCTTTATTTACACAATTACATTTGTCACTCTACAGCATTGGCACTATATAACCCTTCCAATTTCAGATGGCGTTCATTTCAGCTATGAATGTCATGGTTCACATCGCGATGTCAGTATAATGATGTCATCGTTATCACGTCAAATACAAGTCTGACCCTCCCTTGAAGATTGCTGTTCTATTCATTATTAAGCACATGACACACATTCACTCATTTAATTTACCCAAGTTAAGCACACTCCATTGAATTTGATTTCCGTATGGCATTCATATAAACTATGAATGTCAAATAAAAACAGTTCAATGCTGAATTGGATCTCCTTCATCAAAGCATGCTGGAAATATGTCAAGTTGGGGCAAAAATCTTCATTTTTATAAAAAAAAAACCCATTAAACCCCATATTTCCCTTATGAACACTCCTCCTGCCCCCAGGTGCCACGCCCCTTTGTATTAGTTGAATCCTCTGGCCTGGGGATCCCCCATACCAAATTACATCCAATCCCTTCACTCCTAATCAAGGAGTGATCTTGTGAAATATTTCCCCTCATACAAAATTTAATAGGTCTGAGAATGACCCAAATCAAATTCTGTTAGAATTGCTTCAGCCATTTTGGACTAGTAGGTCTTTAAAAGAAAGGTTGACAGATGAAAGACACACAAAAAGCGGACACCACACCATGTGATTTTATAATTGGCCACTATAGCTGACTTGTCTGTCCAAACAATTTTTTTATTATCAATTATTATTTGCGAGTCTCTTGTTAAATATCCAGGTATTCTTTCTGACATTTACAATATACTTTCATCGCAAGAACTAGTAATATTTCTTAAAAAAATGTCCTTTAATCAATTATAATGCTTTTGGGATTAAAATGAGAACTTGAATGTTTGAACTTGGATGATTCAATAATCCCACTGTGTAACTCTTATCCTATCAAAATATTTTATGTACCTCTTTTCTGCATTTTTCATCAGCCTTCCTAAGGGAAATATAGTTGTTGGAATGTCACACGATTTTCTTTTCTTCAGTTAATGGACATTTCATTTTTCAATTTCTCCTTTGAGAATGAGGATGCTGAANAAATCCAGCAGTTTTTTTTTTTTTTTTTTTTTTTTTTTTTTTACTAATATTGTGCAGGTTTCGATGCTCAAACTCTAAATCAAATATGATTAGATAAGTTAAATACTATGACATATAATTGGCTCCATAAAATATACATGCTTCTTATAATATCAACAATGACAGGTACAGCAAAATATTGAAAACCTGCTGGGCGCTATCTTTTTATAGACAAAAATTACTTTATTTGATTTTTTATACAGAAATTGATATCTTTTGACACAGAAATTCATTGGTTTGGTTTTTTTTTTTTTAATTTACTCCTTCCTTTTTACTTTAATTCAGAAAGCCATACTTTACTTTCTTTTTATCAATACTGATTTTTTTACATTGTAATCAATCAATAAATGGTCAATTTCTTCAAATCTTCCACGTAACCAATCTTCATCAATAAATTGTTTTCTTGAGACGTTTCAGGATTCCAGATAGATTCTTGGAATCAGGTTACAGCAGTCTGCAAGAAATCTTTAGCTCATGTTTTCCAACATTATTTCAACAATGTTGTGTTAAATAAATGTCAGCATTCTTGAGTTTACAAAATAAAATAGTCACATAATTATTTGAAGATAATTTCAAATAAGCTAATAGTGGTATGTATCAAGGATTTCTTTTTTAGCAGAAAATGATTTTGAAAATGGCAATATATTGGAATGAATTTTTGAGGGACTTGATACAAAGTTACACCTTTTTTCTTCTTTTTTCTTCTTCACAGAAATCCTTTTGGAACTGAATGATTATCATCGAAATTATTCTTGCTTGGGGCGATTCAAAATGAAATTATGAAGAATAATTTTCTATTCATTATCAAAATTTGCTGAACTGGTGTCCGCTTCTCATTTTCTTATGAATTTTCTCTATGAATTTCTTTTTTTAAATACACTAAATTTCTAAAAATGCAATATCTAAATATTGAAATATATTGCAATATGAGAAAGTTGCTTGAATACCCATCCCAACACAGAACCTACGAAACTCTCCATTTAATGTAAGATATAACAATTTAATTATTACCTTACAATTAACGATGATATTTGCCCACTCTCTAGGTAATTGTCAGTTAAGGTATGCCAACAATTATGTAAATGTACTGTAATAATAATTGAATATGGACGAGTTCCTAACAGTAACAACTGTCATATCAATTTTTTTAAAGCTTTTTCCCCTACAAAAATATGCAACCTTTTAATACAAAACTTTTGATGGTTTAGAATAATTGATCTTTAATTTTGTTTTAATTATCATTCCGCAAAAGTTGTAAGAGTTAACTTAAAAGACAACAAATTCATTAAGTCAGTTCACGTTTGTTTTAATGCCCCGTTAATTAGTTATGACTATAACGAGCAGGCTTTTAGGACAAGTAGAACAACCTACACATCTGTAGATTAAATTCGCGTTTACGCTTTTTATCTTGTTGTGTACGTTTTTCTACCTGTACGCTAATATATGGTTCACAGATTTCACACATGTGTCTAGATCAGGTGACACATGTGCAGAACACAAAGAAATGAAATAACCTTGACCTGAACTGATTGGACGAATATTACGTAACAGAACCAAACGATAGCGCCCGAAATATGTAAATCTTAATTGGTAACAGATTTTTTTTTAAACTGATTTTTTTATCGTTCTCGCCCTGTCTGTCTAGTTTCGAAGTTGTCATGGTAAGCAGTCAACATAATCACGCTAGATATCTTAAGTCCCGCCCCAAATCTATAAATAGAATGTATTCATTTGACAATAAAATTACATTAAAGATCGCGCTAGTATTCACAACCAGAAACAAGTCTTTTTTTTGTTGCAGTTTCTAGGTAAAAAATAAATGTGTTTGATATATGTTATAACACATTTAATCAAATAAGTATCATAAGAATTAAAGTAACGCTTTATATAGTGCAGAACTATACAAGTCTACAAAGCAATTGATTAAGATTCACCAAAACGCCTACTTAATAGGTTAAGAAAGGCTGAAAAATATAACAAGATGTCAGAATTAATTTTCAACCCGTAAGATGTCTCAGGCTGTAAAATCTTAAGTTTTAAAGAAAAAATATATATTATAGCATTTTTTCGAAAAGTAAATTTTCATACTGCAACCTTTTTTCAATATGTAAATATTTTCGATTCTTCAAGTATATATATTTTATATTTTAAAATTATTTTACCAGTTTTAGAGCTATAAGTAAATAATTATATATATTTATGACTGAGTGAAATACGTCGAAGAATTGTTAGATTAAAGAAAGCATAAAATCACAACTGTAGGATGGTATCAGGAATAAATTTCCTTTACGTACAACACACTGCAGTGACGCTTCGGCTTCGACAAAGCAACACTGTTGAGTATACGTAGTCGCGGAAAGTCATGTGACTACTGCTACAATACATGCTTGTATATAGTTGGTGCATGTTTGAGCCAATGTTCTTCGAGCTTAGAAAAACACGAAGGAAAGTGCTGACGTGTTGTGTTGGACAGAATTATTCCAAAGCGTTAACTCGACAAGAAATGCAACACATATTCTTAAAAATCCAACAATTCCAACATTCTGTTAAAAATTTAAAGAATAGAAAGACAGAAAAAAAACAAGAAAAAAACAGCAAAGAGAAATATTCTAAGAGAGAAAATCCCTCAAGTATATATTTGAGACAGAAAAATGTTTTGTGAAAACAAACCATAGTCGAAAAAGTAGGAAGAGGACCTACATCTTAAGAAATAAAATAATACAAGGGTGGTTTTTTTTTCGAAGGTATTTTACGAAAACCAAGCAAGAATATTTGCTTTGATATTGAAATACTGAACGAAAGAAAAGTCGCAGAATTTTTACATGGTGGGCGCTTTGTAAAATAGAAGACCTTACCTTTGAAATATGTGTGTAGAAATCTGGAGGCCGCTCCGCGGTAACACAACCATGGTGCCTGATGCATGGTGCTTGGAGCCACCTCCGGATCAGTATAAACCAGACTTTGTTCAAGCATTCAACATGCAGTATGACGTCTTATCGTCAAAATTCATCTCCTAATACAAATATTCCACAAGGTTTCACGTAAATAAAGTATAGCGAAACTTCAACCAAGGTACGTACACGGCAAGTTCTAAATGTGTACAGGCTCAGAGGAAGTTAGAAGGTATATGAGTAGCATTCCCTTGCATTCATTGGCTCCTATAAAACATGACTGGTACCGGTAGCCATAGTTGATAAGCACGGGTATGTCGAAACATATAACTCCTGTAAATATTGAGGAGAAAAGACAAATAGAGTCGATCGATACAATATACAAAATGGCAGTCACCGCAGTTGTGGGAACATTTTTATACATATATTTCATCATCAGAAGTTTTTCTCTCTTGATCAACAAAAATTCAAAGCGTGGCAAAGCGAGGCAAAAAAAATATTTGGGACTGTGAAACCCGACAAGCGCGCGCCCGGTCTAGCCCCCTTCAATTTACCTTTCCAAAGACAAACGCGAGTTTCACAGTGATGTCACGTTTGAACATTTTATAAGACAACAATTATGCCGTCCCAAAAAAATATTCCCTGACTCCTAACTTCATGAAATGTTTGGTCTGTGAGAAAACAACAAGGCTGATATGTGTTGTATATGTAGACCACCATTAACTACGATACAGAGGTGTATCGAGGTACATTCAACAAATCGAACGAGGGGTCTCGGTGACCGATTTCCCTCCCAGAATCAGGCTCTGAAATACCAGACAAATGTCTTACCTTGCAGATACAGCAACAAAGACGACACATTGGATGAGTTTTTTAACCATTCGTTGTGCAGCATTCTTATCTTGACCTCAAACCCTCTATGCACAAAATGTATTCATACGAAGACGTTGCACATGCGCAGTTGCACATACATAAAAAAACATTGTGTGCTGTACTTAGCGGAGACCCAGTATGTCTGCATGTTAGATTATATGGTACTGTCGCTTGGAGTAATGGCATATATATCACATTGTACATGGTGCTGCACACACTGCACAGCCCAACACAACGGCCAGGAATGGCGACGGTACACTGTCATCGGGGGGCCGGCTTACAAATGCTGCCTCTGTACAGGTAGTGCACATTTTCTCATCTGTGAATAATACTGGTTCATTTGAACTGGTGCATTGTCAAATGCACCCAACATCAAAGAAATCCAGGTCTACATGTAGCAATTACGCTGTCCAGTCACAGGTACCGAGGAGCTACCTAGCGTGAAATCACAAATCACACAAATAAAATTCTTAAATATTCACATGGCCTCCACTGTCATTGACCCCGATCGCCAATATATGCACCAAATTCTATAACATGTAAGGCGCATCATATGCAATGGCCTTATCCACACTGTAATACATTACAGGACTAGAATCGCGGCCTAGGTCTGTCTGGTCTGATACCGCGAGATCAACAGTCAACTTTACAAAAAAAACATCCTGCTGTCCACCAACAACAAACTATCAGGAAACGATGATTACCAAGATGATGTAATTGATAAAAAAAAAGATCTACAAAGTCTTAAAACTGCTCCGGTATAACTGTAACTATGTATAAAGATTGGAGAAATGAAACAGGCAGACATTACAAGTTCTCCATTTTGGATCCAATCACGTGTCATACATGTTTATACCCTCAGGATTGAAAGATCTGTTTAAAAATATTCTCTATTCTATTTGGTGTTTGTACATGTGTATCAACTGCTGTGCACGCAGGTGCTGAACTTCACACTTGACTTACCTGTCGCGCAGCACCTCCCCCCTTGCGTCATGTAAATAAGGCGACAGTAGCTCTGTACCTTTTCTAGAGGCCCCAGTGTTACATAACACCATCCCCCCCTTTCCCACTATCGGCTATATACCTTACCTTGAGTCTCTCTACGTAATGTATACAATCGAGGAAGATGCAGTATCTATGATTTTTTAGCCATGTGGGACCAAACAGTGTGTTTCCATAACAGCACTAGTAGACTCAATTCATTCACACTTGACAGTCATGCGCAATTGCACAATGTAAAAACAGGAGGGTGCATCAAAAACCAGTCAGGCGTAAAAACCTTGTGCATACAGAACACACATACTTGTTTGTCGTGTCCAGCCATGCGTGTCAACACTGCACACAACTGCACTGTGGCCAGGACCGTCTATCCCAAGGTACACACACTCGTCACAGAAACAGCAGGTCAAAATCTTATTATGCTAGACCATTACGATGCACAGTTGCACATAAAAAATTAGCCTTAGGCTCTCCGAACTGCTTAGAATGCATCCCTTGACTCCGCCCCGCTGCATTTTATATGTATGGACATTACTAAGGAGTTGAATATTTTTTCACCGAGTGTCTTATTTTAACTACACAGAGATACATTAAAAATACATAATAAAATCAGTATCAAAGTTCTTTTTATAGAAACATCAGACAAGACAAGGTACAATATATTGTGTGTATTTATGATTATTGGTTGGTATTTTCCTCCAGTAGATCACATTGAGTGCAGAGATCAATGCAGAAGCAGGCTAACTCACCAGTGGTGGAGTCAGGCATTGTGCTGCTTCTTGTATACCCAGCCTAATAGTTTTGAGGGACAGACTCGCATTTGCATAATTCTGCAGTATGACAGCCGAACAGGTGAGAGCACTTCAGACCGTCTGTACTACCTGTCTGGGCTGTACAGGCACACAAACAGAAAAAATAACACCTCTCATACAGCTTAACACTGCTGCTACAGATTACATATGTTGTTCTATACAAAAAACCTGTTAAAGGCAGTTAAACTCTTTAAGTGTTATTTAATTCTGAATACATAATATTTGTGAAAATTTGCATATGTATTTTAAAGCCTTGAAGATAAACGTTTTTCAATATTTTGTTTTTTAAATAAAATTTTGTTAAACTAACCAGGAGCTGTTCCCTTTTAACAATTTGATCTCATTATTTTTCGAGTGCGATATACTTCTCATATATCAGCAGTTTTATTTTTTTTATATAAAAAATCCATTTTAGTCACAATAGTGATACATGTGTTACAGTTTTTCTCTGTATAATTTGTATATTTTAAAGTTATTTTTAGACACTCAGACATCCGCTTTCCACATGCGTCAAGACCATTACATGAGGATCGACAACGCATAATTTGCATATTTATATAAACGTCTGAATATTTGATCCTATCTATGTCTCACCACTATATGATATTGGTGACTTAATTCTAGAATAAATATACCTATGTTCCAGACGAATTACACATGCTTCAAGTGATTTACCTGTGAATCATTAATAACCTGTCCTAATTAAATTTTACACCTGGCTGACCAGGTGAGCTAATTCGTATGAACAAGTATTGTGTCTGCAGACGGTTTATACGTACATGTGCATTTCACTCTAAGCAACATGACAACATTGAACCCAGGGGTTTGAGAAGGGGGTACAGTAAGGTCACTAACAACAAGTAGTCTGATTTGTACATAAACACGAATCCAGGAGTCGGTTAGTAGAATTGGTCTGCCTAAACAGGTTGTCGAATTAGTCAGAATGTGAAAAGATTTTAAAAAAAACCAGGGTGTCGGCCAATAAAGCAGGTCAGTACAAAAATGCTGTCTATTAAGACAATGAAAAAAGATAAGAACTCAGGATGTCGGTCAATATGAAAAGGTTGTCTGTTAAGGCAGAATGTAAAGAGACAAGAACCAGGGAGGTTGATCAGTATAAAAAAGGTTGTCTGTATAGACAGAATAAAGGCAGACAATAACTCCGGATGTCGATCAGTGAAATAAGCCTGTCCACACAGGAGGTTGTTAAGTAGAACTTGTCAATCAACACAAGTCGTCTGTTTAGACAGTAACGGCATTATTGTAAAAATGAAGTCAGTCTGTAAACCTGTTCATTGAACACGGGTGGTTTTTATATACAGGTTGAGGTTAAATGAAGTCAAAAATGAGGTCAGGATGAGTTAAGAAGATGAATACTCAGTACCTGTCACAGGTCAACCAATACCCACCAGAATCAATCAGATGTCAAATAGTTATAGATGATCAATAGCACAAATCTGTCACTGATATGGACTATTCCATTACAATCAGAAGGGGTGATGATAGAAGATAATTAATAGCCTTGCTCAAGTCACAAAAACTTATATAGCTATTAGTGATAAATTCAGTTTTTTCCCTTGCAATATTCTGTTACAATTAACACAATAAAACAATTAATTCGTTCTGATATAATTTTACTCATCATAAAAATCGTTTAACTAATTACAGACGGGGGAAAATGCTTGAGTTATCATTCTAAATAAAGAGACAATTCAATTTATTAATTTCACAGGTGGCCTAGCTGTATGAGTGACCTTTGTTACCTTTATGTTTATTGAGTCACTTGCATGAATTCACAAGAACATTTCTTTTGCCATATTGTCTCTCTGTATAACAGCACCTAGGTATACTGCCATCACATGTTGGTTAAGTGATTATCCCTTGGGATAACGACACCTGTCTATAGTGACAATATAGTGGTTCAATGATTGACCCTACATATAGCAATACTCATCTCTATTGACATTTTTATTTACTATAATACATTTTTATAGTCTTTGGGACTATTAATGATGACACCTGTCTAATTACTGACATACAGAACCATTGGTTTAATGAGTGTCTATATAAGGACACCTGTCTATACCGACAAACAAAATCATTGGTTAAATGATTATATAATGACACTTGTTTATACTGACAAACAAAATCATTGGTTAAGTGATTATATAAGGACCCCTTTCTATACTAACAAACACAATCATTAGTTTATTGATTGTCTATATAAGGACACCTGTCTATAACGACATACAAAATCATTGATTAGGTGAGTGTCTATATATAAGGACACCTGTCTATACTGACACAAACTATCATTGGTTTATTGATTGTCCATATAAGAACACCCGTCTATACCGACACATATTCTCACTGGATAATCATTGTCTATATAAGGACCCCTGTCTATACTGACACACACGATCATTGGCCAAGTGATTGTTTATATAAAGACACTTGTTTATACTGACACACAGAATTGTTGGTTAAGTGATCGTCTATATAAGGACACCTGTATATACTGACACACACGATCATTTGCCAAGTGATTGTTTCCATCAAGACACTTGTCTATACTGACACAAACTATCATTGGTTTATTGATTGTCCATATAAGGATACCTGTCTATACTGATAGTGTGTATCATTGGTTTAGTCATTATCTATATAAGGACACCTGTATATACTGACACACACTATTATTGTTTTAGTGATTGTCTATATAAGGACACCTGTCTATACTGATACACACTATCATTGGTTTAGTGATTATCTATATAAGGACACCTGTCTATACTGACACACAGAATCATTGGTTTAGTAATTGTCTATATAAGGATACCTGTCTATACTAACACACAGAATCATTGGTTTAGTAATTGTCTATATAAGGATACCTGTATATACTGACACACACGATCATTGGCCAAGTGATTGTTTATATAAAGACACTTGTCTATACTGACACACACATCATTGGTTTAGTGATTATCTTTATAAGGACACCTGTCTATACTGACACACAGAAACATTGGTTTAGTGATTGTCTATATAAGGACACCTGTATATAATGACACACACTATCATTGGTTTAGTGATTGTCTATATAAGGATACCTGTCTATACTGACACACAGAATCATTGGTTTAGTAATTGTCTATATAAGGATACCTGTCTATACTGACACACACGATCATTGGCCAAGTGATTGTTTATATAAAGACACTTGTCTATACTGACACACACATCATTGGTTTAGTGATTGTCTATATAAGGACACCTGTCTATACTGACACACACTATCATTGGTTTAGTGATTGTCTATATAAGGACACCTGTCTATACTGACACACACTATCATTGGTTTAGTGATTGTCTATATAAGGACACCTGTCTATACTGACACACACAATCATTGGTTTAGTGATTGTCTATATAAGGACACCTGTCTATACTGACACACAGAATCATTGGTTTAGTGATTGTCTATATAAGGACACCCGTCTATACTGACACACACTATCATTGGTTTAGTGATTGTCTATATTAGGTCATCTGTCTATACTGATACACACTATCATTGTTTTAGTGATTGTCCATATAAGGATACCTGTCTATACTGACACACACTATCATTGGTTTAGTGATTGTCTATATAAGGACACCTGTCTATACTGACACACAGAATCATTGGTTTAGTGAGTGTCTATATAAGGACACCTGTCTATAATGACACACACTATCATTGGTTTAGGGATTGTCTATATAAGGACACCTGTCTATAATGACACACACTATCATTGGTTTAGGGATTGTCTATATTAGGTCATCTGTCTATACTGATACACACTATCATTGTTTTAGTTATTGTCCATATAAGGATACCTGTCTATAATGACACACACTATCATTGGTTTAGGGATTGTCTATATAAGGACACCTGTCTATACTGACACACAGAATCATTGATTTAGTGATTGTCTATATAAGGACACCTGTCTTTACTGATACAGATTCATTGCATTAGTGTCTCTATTGTTACAATATAATGGTTTGGTGATTTACTGTGTATATAAGGACACATGTCTATACTTAAAAAAATGTCATTTAAGTCAGGTGTCA